CCCCCCCCCCGCCTCCCTGTGAGCCCAGTGGCCGTCTGCGAGACAGCGAGACCCAGCCCGGACACACACACACACACCCCCGCCGCCTGGCAGGGAGTTTGTGTGTGTGCGCTCACACACCGACTCACAGCCTCGCCGCGTCCCGCCGTCTCAGGGAGACAGTTTGGCTTATTTAAAGATAATGTACTTGCAGGACTCTTGCTGCTTTGAGCTTGTATCGTGGTCATGGTTGAATACACTTATTGTAAGTCACTTTGGATAAAAGCATCAGCTAAATGAAATGGAAATGTACGTAAAAGCTACAAGGCTGGTCAATTCAGAAAATTATCCTTTTACTGTAATGCAGCTTTTAGAACCAGGAAAACAAACAGCTAGAATATCACGGTATTCAAAATAAGAGATGATATCTAGTCTGATGTCACCCCGGTCTGAACCTTCATTTCCTTAATTTGTTTTCACAAAACCACAGCATGTCAAATGAAGACAGAGAGGTAAAAAGGACATATGACAGAGATTCAGAAAAAGATGGCTACTCAAACCATTCTTAACCTTCTTCAATTCCCTCTTATTTGTGTCTACTGATTAATGGACACTGTGATAGGTAGTTGTTTAGTATCCAGTTAGCTAAAAGCTTGTAAGGCAGATCTGTTAGTAGTAATGTTGTGTTAGATACTCTGTTAGACAGTTTTCAATAGCAAGTTAGCCAGTTGTCTATATTACGCAGTGTCTTAGTAGTTAAGTTAAGTTAGGCAGTTGGTTAGCAATATTTTAAAGTTGGCTCTTGTATTAGACAGTGAGTTAGTAGAAATTTAGCTAGTAACCAATGTGAGGCAGGGGGGGGGGGTGCTAGGGTTTCACCGGAGCTGTTAGATTAACATTAACATGCTTAGCATTTGTGTGGGCTGGACCTGTAACCTGTATTTTACAGGAAAGGAGTGAGCAGAGAGTAGAGTAGTTGTCGATTCTTGTTCTGTGACTATCTGCCTCACCCTCTCAGACTTTGAGTTGTGCGCGCTACTAAAGAGACGTGTTACCATGGAAACCAAACAATGGTGTAGCTGTATTAAAGTCAGAGTGGAAACAGTCCTGAGTAAACCTGATTTTGTCAGAAATCGGGAGAAATGCGGGAGAAATATGACCCCGGGAGGAAACCGGGAGAGGGCAATGAAATCGGGAGTCTCCCGCGAAAATCGGGAGGGTTGACAAGTATGGTCCAGAACCAACTGAAGAAGAACCCGCTCTGAATCAGTCCGTGTCCCTGCGGCTCAGAGACACAGGGATTTATGTTTTAAAGAAATACTCGCGTTACAATCATGTCAGGTTTTTGGTGGATTTAGTTAAGTCTTGGATTGCAGAGTATGAATGTCCTCTTGTTATTTTCAGACGATAGGCTATGTGTGTAAAGTTTGTGAAGGCAGGTTGAAAAAGCTTCCGCGATCACCATCTCCTCTCAGTTCCTCCAAACCCCGCCCCCTCCCTGAAAATAATGAGTGACAGGCTGATAGTAACCGGATAGAAACTTTATTATTCACTGATTGAGATGATGAAGCTAACTTAATCTCCTACAATCATGGGATTTATGTAACAGTAAGACAGAGAATGTAAGTGTGCACCCACATGCAGTATTTTAGTTTTTATAATGCTGTTGTACTCCTGTTGTCTGCTGTGTTCAGACTCAAGTTATGTTTGTGATGCCACATTCAGGACATTCAGTGTCCTTTTTTAAACAGAAGACTGTTGCTAGAAGCTGCAGCTAGACTGCAGAAGCATTCGTTTTTTGTTTTTGAGGATGGAACAATTTCACACACAGATACTGCATAGGGATGCTAGAGCTATACAATTGATTTATTTTGGTTTGTAAATTAATGTCAAGACATTTATGTTATGGATTTCTGAAGGACTTTCTAAATAATAAAAAGAGAGTTCATATGTATTTACTGCATGTATTCATTGATGAAAAAGAAGCCATGTGCAGTAATATAGAAAATTGAGGATGCAACGCATTGGTATGAATCGTGGTGCATCGGGGCATCGAATCGGTGACAGGATAATCGTAATCGAATCGAATCGTGAGACCAGTGAAGATGCACAGCCCTAGTATTTAGACAGTTGGTTAATTTGTTTGCTTATATATTTGCCGGTTAGTGAGTGCTAAGTTAGTTAATATGTTCAGCAGTGAGTAGAAGGTAAACCCCTCCCCTCTTTATTATATATACGTTTTGTGTCTTTGTATTGTTTTTTTATTTTTGTTTTGTCCTGTTAGTCTGTACAACCCTCTCTTACATTTTGGCTACATGGTCTGTTTTGGTTATAATTGTGGTTTGAACATTGTACGCCTTCAAGTGAAGACCTTCTATGTATGGTTTGTCAATTGATGTTCAATAGTAGAGACTAAGCTGAACACTAGTAGCTTTGAACTGTTCAATCTAACCTATCAATGTTGGAGCCTGGGACCTAAGATTGTCATCGTCATAACTACACTGTAGCTATGTACGTATGATTAATAAAAGCCTTGAACCTTGAAATGTATTTTCTATGTGTCTTCAATAAAAAAATAAAATAAGATGGCTACACAAACAGACAGCTGAGTAAACACAGACACACAGACAGTCACAACAATGCACAGGATGATGGGAGACAGACTTGATGTCCACAGGCAGAGTCTGGTACTGACCTGCCAAAGTCACAGAGTTTGAGGATGGCCGTCTCCGGGTCCACCAGCAGGTTCTGGGGTTTGATGTCTCTGTGACACACGCCCTGGGAATGGATATAAGCCAGACTGCGGAACAGCTGGTACATGTACACCTGAGGGGGGGGGGAGGGGAGAGAGTTAGCATCAACTCAGACAGAAACATACAGATAAACCAGGAAGAAAAAGAAAAAAAGAGCGGTCAGGTGTTCCCCCCGTTTGCATGTGAAGTCAGGTGACTCGTGACTCACAGGGAGGCTCCAGATCCCTATCAGAGTTCAACAAGGTACATTCACGCCTTATTTAAACCTTTTTAGTACCACACTGGATGCAATGTAATACCTCTTTTGTTATAATACTGGTCAAAGTATTGAAGTGTGTTGGAAAGCTTGTAGGAAGCTTGAATGAGGGGTGTTGATATAATTGATAATTACCAATATTAAAATAAATACAAATGTATTCCATGTCGATAATACACCAATGATAATGTTGTGTAAATATTTCAAAAACATTTATTTATGTTCTCACTTTGTATCCTAAATGCACAACAGCTGAAAAACAGACAAAAACCACAATAAACCAATTTACCGTAAAAGAAATTCAAGTTTTCTTAGTAGTTGATAGAATTGAAATACTTTGGCAAGAATCAGTGGCGGACTGGCCATCGGGACGTTTGGGATGGGCCGGTACCTAAGTGGGCCGGTCGGACAATCACCCCCCCCCGTTGACAATTTACTAGCGGTACTGAAGTGAGCCGGTCGAGATTACGGGGCTGATTTTTAGTCCCAGTCCGCCCCTGGCAAGAATAATATTAAATATACAAATGTTCTATTAGTTCCACGCAATGTATAACATGTTCTAATCAATGTGTTGAATATGTAATTCATTCATTAATGCATCTGGACCGATAAGTGGCAGAAAATGGATTGCTTAACCAATTGAAATGTAATTCATTCCATTGAGAACAATGAGCTTCCCATGTCCTCTTTTCCATAAAAGGATATAACACAACAAGCACATAGTGTAACAAACTCAAAGGTTTATAGATATATACAGGGATGCAAACTCATCAGGTATGAAAAAGGTGAGAAGGATCCGAGCCCCCGACCCCACGGAATATCGGCTTTAAAATGAGGAATAACAGAGGATGTTAGCAGTCAGAACAACTAAAGCAGTTAATAATAACAGAAACGCCAAAGAGTCACATCTAATAGAAATATATAAAAGCATTTATTTTAATTGTGTAGCAGTCAGTTTATAATTTTGGCAGCACTGTTGAGCATTTTGAAAATGTATTTTCATGCCTCTGTGCAAGGCTTAGTCTTTCTATCTTTATAGCCACATGATGTAAAGTAACTAAGTTCATAAACTCAACAAGTACTATACTTGGGCACAATTTTGAGATACTTGTAAGTATTTCAATGTTTTGCTACTTTGTACTTCTACTCCACTACAGTTCAGAGGTACATGGTGTACTTCTACTCCCCTACATGTATTTATTACCTTTAGTTACTTTACTTTAATGATGTGAAATATAATCAAGTGTTAAATCAGACTTTAGTTCCACCTGGAGTAAATCCACAAGCTACCCTGCAGTATACAAAGTCATTCAAACTAGCTGCACCTTTACCAGCTTTGAGAACACTTTCATGATCAATCATTATAAAACATACCATATCTATTATTCTGAAATGGACCAATCTGCACAATGACTACTTTTACTGTCGCAACTTTAACTATATTTTGATGATAATACTTTCTACTTTGACTTGAGGAACATTTTGAATGCAGGATTGTTCCTACATTCTGGTACTTCTACTTTTACTCAAGTACAAGATCTGAGTACTTCTACTTTTACTCTAGTACAAGATCTGTGTGCTTCTACTTTTACTCAAGTACAAGACCTGAGTGCTTCTACTTTTACTCAAGTACAATATATATATATATATACTTATACCACCTCTGTTTATAGCCTATGAAAAAAACTATTAGAAAACGAAGGCTAAAGCTAACGTTAGCAGATAGTGACAATGTATGCTAGCTAGCTAGCTCAACGATAATATTGCCACAGAAAAACTTTTCAGTGCGCATCACGCTCTGCCGCTCCGACAGGGAGCTCTGCTCTGAACACCTGAACGGCCCGTTCTAACAGCTGTTCACCAGCGGTCCAGTCTGTGCCACAGTGACTCCGGACGCACAGTTAATATTAACGAACGCACCCGTAGGTAATGTAGCTGCTGAAGCTAGACCATCATCTCGGAGCAGCAGAGCCTTATTATACATCCACCATGAGCAGAGCCGACAGGCTCGCGCTTCATTATAATATATAAAAAAAAGAACACCATGCGTGTCATGATGGCACATAACAGCTCGCGGCCGCACATTACTCCGGGTCCCAGCCCCCCCATACCCCAAAAATATTTGTATTGCAGATCTACATGAATCACACAAACGACCTATTTTGGATTCAAAACGGCGAATTTCGCCGAAAGGTGACAAGTTTGCATCCCTGTATACAACAGCTCCTTAAAGCCTGCAATTGGAGGCAAAAATACTGCAATGACTGCCTACAACATGCAAGAGACAATATCTAAGACTTCATAAACTAACAAGCAAGACTTTTCTGTTGATTTGAAAGAATTTTCCGGATCTACCAATACCCACTTAATTAATTGCCTTGTATACATTCAGATACTTTAATGTAATTTCCCTTTGGACTGGAAGTCTCGTGTGACCTTAGCTGCCCCGAGCGAAGGCAGTGGTTCCTGAAATAGCATTATAAATGGCACGGAAAGCAGGAAGTAGTTGAAGTAAGAAGTATTGCTTGGAGTTGTTCAGACTTATGCTTAAACTTTGCTAATTTATTGTGAAAACAAATCACTAAATACACTTTGATGAGGACCAAGATAACATTTTTGAACTTTGGGAACTACTGAGCTGAGGCTTAGCTGACTTTAGTTGGGAAACTGCATTACAAATTAAAAATCTTACACACCATCTGGCTCTATAATACAAGTTTGTATTTTTTTTTTGGCAGAGGCAGGAGCATCTGTGTGTGTCTGTAAGGTTTCTCATCACACACCAGTCACATCAATTTGTGCCCTAATTTTGTTTTCTGGATGCAGAGTGTTAAAGAAGCAGCTGTGTGGTGTCTGCAGCAGCCCGCAGTGGCATGGTATTTACAACAAAATAACATTAGGGGGGTAAAAACTCCCCCAGATGATGTACAACTAACCCCTATTTGACATTTGTCTAAACATCCTAGGTCAATGGTAATGTCCTTGTGTAAAAATGGCTCTCACTAATAAGTCTGCAGCCATTAAATGTGCCCGTGGAATGCCGACAGAAAGCATCTTAATATGACAAATCATCGCCATCACCATTATCTCGCCATTATTACCCACATGATGCAGTGACACAGACTAAAAGATGATTGCAGAGAAAATGATGAGTGAAGGATGCTGTTAAAAAAAGGCGAAGAGGAGGGCAGGGGTGAGGAAGAGGGAAACCATGACAGACACGGTGAAAACATTGAGTCCCAGGGGACGGGAAGAGGGAAGAGATGGCACACTGAGATAGAAGTGTGTCGCTGGAGGACAGAGGGATGACAGAGCAGAGAGAAAGTGTGTGTGAGGGAGAGATCAGCATGCATCTCTGAGCCATGGGGGAGCAGCAGGCTGAGGAGGGGAAATGGGCCATGAGACAGCTATAATGTCCTCTGCTGCGGCAGACACAGTAAACACACAAACACTCTCTCCGAAATGAGCACCCTTTTAGACAGGGAGCCAAGTGTACTGCAAACAGATGAATTCCCTTGGGACCATCTTTCCCTTTCTGCCTCGATAATCCATAAACAGTGAGCTGAACCAACAGGAACATACTCCATCGTTTGTTACATCCTCAGGCAATTACTTAAATACGACCTTAAGTAACGGATGAAGCTCAAATCCAAACATTAGGATGTAAGTATCATCTATTCCATGTGATGTCGCAGAGTGTGACAGAAAGTCTCTATTTTACAAAGACGTAAAAGCAGTAAGCACACAGATCTTCTGCCAAAGACGATACATTCTCCACCTTGTAAAGCAAAAAGCTTCTTAGCAGAAGTACTGTATCTGTCTTGTTTGGCAGTCTGGGTGTCAGGGGTTCCCAAAAACGAGTGAATGCACTGTGTTAAATTACAGCTAAAGGGCATTTCAGATGTGTTAATCCCAGACAAAACCAATGATATCCATTAATTCCTGTTACTTTTGGATCGATAAACAGACAGGGGTTAAGACCTCTGCAAGCTTTGAGGAGTTCTTATGATGACTTTGAGTGTAGCCAGAATGACCAGACAGTTTATTTGCCTCTATGATTATGACAGCTTTTGTTCCCTTGTGAGAATGTAAGTATTTAATCCCTGAATAACTGACTTGAATTAACCTTTTAATGCTTATAGTGGCATGGTGGGGTGTGTGTGTGTGTGTGTGTGTGTGTGTGTGTGTGTGTGTGTGTGTGCGTGTGCGTGTGCACTGACCTTAACATAGATGATGGGGATGGTGGTCTTTGCCTTGTTGAAGTGCCGAGCCACCCTGTACACGGTCTCGGGAACGAAGTCCAGCACCAGATTCAAATACACCTCATCTTTCTGAGAAGGAGGGGAAAAAGGAAAAAGGTTGTTTGATTATAGGTGGAAAGAGAAAGGGATGTAAGGAGCATAAAACCAATTTAATAAAATGTGTTGTGTGGTACATGGGGGGAGTAATAAGGCAACAAATAAATACTGTTTGCAGATTAGTTATCAGACTGCTTTTAAAAAGGACATAATGAAATATTTTTCTCATACTTTGGACTTATTTTCTTAAAGGTCACCTATCCTGCTATTTTTAGGCAATAGCGTAGGTCTCATATATATAAAAAACATGTCTATGAAGTGTTTTGCTCAAAATACCAAACAGATCACCCATTCTAGCCATGCCTCATATCCCTCTATTTCACTTCCTGTTTCAAAAGTGCTGATTTTGGGTATAAAGCTTTAAAATAAATAAAAAAGGAGGGGGCTGAGCTCATGCGGGACCCGGCAGCTACTGTCTAAACTAAATACTGCCGTGATGGAACGATATGACGTCATATCGGACGCAAATCTGGATGAGCTCTGTCGTAGCCCCGTTTTTAGAGATTTTGGGGGCGGGGGCGGTGGGGCGATTAATATTGGCCAGGGCTGTCCGATTTTGATCATGGCCAGTTTCTGGCATCCCTACAACGGAGTGTAAATGATGACTAGGGATGGGTATCGTTAGGATTTTATCGATACCGGTACCGGTACTGCTTATCGGTATCGGTATTTTTCGATACTGTTATCGATACTTTTCAATAATTTGGTGTTAATAAACTAAAAAAAGACAAGGCGATGTGCCTGCAAGACTGCACCCAGGTAAACAAAACATATTACCCGTGCGCAGCAGCTAACCTGCCTGCGAGCCTTCGCTCAGGTCACATTTACACACGGCGCGGCTGAAGCCCGCTAGCACTATTAGCACTATTAGCACTAGCAGTATCGCTAGCACCGTTTTAGATTCAATGAGTGTCTCGGTTGCAAATGCTTCATTAAGTTGCTTGTGTCACCCCCTTTACAAGCAACTAATTGGGTACATAGATTGCACCTTGCACTATCGCCACTACATTTTTTAAAAGTGTACCCAGACCTTAGATCGCTTCGCTTTGTCCGCCATTCCTGCGGGAGTCTCACAACAATAATAAGAGCGCTGTTGAGAGAGATGAGGAGTGGCATTTACAGTGGCCAGAGGGGTCTCAAACCAGATACATCACACGGGATGAGGGTTCCCAACCAACCAGAATGGTTTAAAGTTAAACTAAGGAAGTAGACGTAACAGATATACCGATAGCAGCACCGTTTGTCCAGCGGCTTAACGGTATACCGATACCGTCCAATCAGGTACCGGTATTGACTTAGTACCGGTTCTCGGTACCCATCCCTAATGATGACTGAATAGATTACAAGGGAGGATATTACAGCTTGTTAATGTAATACAGAGGCAAAAGTATTTAGTTTGTGTAGTGTTAAGTTCACAGGGTACGGATCAAAAGTCACAATTTGCCTGATACAGCTTGTGCTTTTTCTTAGATACATTTAGGAAAACCACAATTATAAGCCAACAATTCATCAAAAGAGCTTGTACCTGTAAACCAGTAAGTAAGAGTGGAACTCAATGTACAATAAGACCAGGATCAACTTGTCTGAAACGTGTCTATGAGTCATCACTGATGCATGCTGGGTGTGGAGGGAGAGTGCTTGGTCTAGAAACCTGATTCATGCTGCATTAAAACGTCACGTCAGTGCGTACACACCTTCTCTCCACTGGAGTAGAAGAAGTAACGTAGCCTCACAATGTTGCAGTGGTCCAATTTCCTCATAATTTGCAGCTCCCTATTCTGTAATGAAGAAAGGAAAGATAGGACTCATTACAAACATGCACAGGTCCATCAGTCAGGATGTATTCAACAAGGTGATTTACGTCTACAACAAATCCATTACCACTTCTTTGTAGCTGCAACTTTAACAGTAATGGTCTTGAAGTTTTCGAATATAACGAACATTACACATACATAAAACGGTCAGTCTAGGTGGCAGATAGTGTACAATCAAATGATAAGGCATGTAAATAAACACAGGTCAGTATACAGATGATACAGGGATAACAAAGTACAGAAATCGTCAATAAATCTGAACGAATATGACGTGAGCTACTACACTTTATAATCGTATTCCCGTTGCCCCCCTCCCCGCCCCTGTCTTTGGTTTTATTGATCATTACCAACATTCTTTTTCAAAAACTCCATAAAGCAGCCCCAAACAGTCATGATCTGGTTAGTGTAAGCTTCTCTAAACATACCTTGAACCTCTTGTCTTGGAGAACTTTCTTAATGGCCACCATCTCCTGGCTGTCGATGAGGCGAGCCTGGTAGACCACCCCAAAGGAGCCATTCCCTATAACCTTTATGTCTGTATAAGAGACTTCCTGTGGGCGGTCGGGGCCCTGGCCGGGTGTGGCTACCACCGTCGTCACCTTGCCACTGTCTCCTGTGGGCAGAAAACACACCTTCTTAGAAAAAGCCTAAATGACACCCAAGTTACATAATGTAAAATAGTTCTTTCTGTGTTTTTAAAAACGTTTGTTTTACTTTTATGTATGGACCACGACACCAAGTCAAATTCCTCGTACGTGTCAACCTACCTGGTAATAAACCTGTTTCTGTTTCTGATTCTGATAATGTGAAAAGTATGGATATTTTTGTAATAAAAACCCCAATATTTTCTTTGATGAACAGAAGTTTAGACGAGTGAGAAGCCAAGTGAAATGACCCTCTACAGTTCGGCTATTAATCCAGTTTCCCTGAGAGAGAGATTTAACGTCAACAAGCCCTCCCCACGTCTCTAAATGGTTGTGACCAATCTGGTGGCTCCCCAGACACACACTGGCTGCAGGTAATGAGCTGCTGATTCTTCACACAACAATGTCCCGCTACCCCACTGAGTGAAACCAGCTCCAACCTCTTTATAAACGGGAGAAACACATATGGTGCAGCTCGACAGATGTGCAATGCATCTCATTTTATTGTCAACTACTGTATTGGCTTCTAATGATTCTCACCAAAAAAAGAATCTGAATGAAATGACTATTGCAACATAACGTTTCGCTGTGGTGCTCTCGTTTTGTCTTGTGTTATAAATCCAGCACACCTCTTGCTGGGCAGAGACACCGCTCACTGGGCGTCACATCTGTACTACAATTTAGAACATCAGCAGCCATTTCAAACAGTTCAGCCCAATCTGACCATTCTCGTCCCGGTTTATGTTTGATATAGGTTGACATGCAGATTATATTTTCTTATCAAATACCTTTGTAGGTTTTCTTTCACCAAATATTTACACAATGAGAATGTTGACCATTGGTCATCAGGAATGTGTATTCATTGACTAAGTGGGTAAAGGCAAATAAAAGCTATAACATTCTCATAAATCCAGAAAATGACATCGCTTTATATTGGGAGGGATGAACCCTCTGTAATGGTCACACATGCAGAGCACACCGCACACAGTGACATGTGTTCTCTGCATTTAACCCATCCTAGTACCAGGAGTCTAGTACTAGGAGCAGTGGGCAGCTATTGTACAGCACCCGGGGAGCAATGTAATTTCATGTAATTAAACGTATAAAACCAGTAAAAAGACACCACCTACGCTATTACAATATTACAGTGACCACATCCGGCCCGCCAGACATTCTCATCCGGCCCGCACGACGGGGGTGACTGTGGCGTTGGCGGAGTTTTTACTGCGTTCGGACCCCACCCATTTTTCTTTTTTACAACGCCTCGTGAGTAAGGTGCAGTACCGGAGTCCAACAGAGAGGCAGCAGCTGCGGGACAGTAGACTGCGAAACCTTCTCTGCCTTGAAGAAGAAGTGATTCTTCGTTGTGAAGAGTCTGGTTAATGCGCTCCGCACCACAGCAGTGGCCCCGCTGCGACAGAGTCCAACAGAGAGGCAGGCGCTGCGGGACAGTAGCCTAGAAGCAGGGTTGGGTTGTAACGGAATACATGTAATTGTGTTACGTAATCAGAATACAAAAATCAAGTAGGCTAACTGTATTCAGCTGGCGTTACATTTGAAAAACAAGTAATCTGATTACAGTTACTTTCGTAAACCTGAAGTGAATATATTTTGGAATACTTATTGGAATTATTGGTGGAAAAGTTTCCTCACAAAATGTAATATTCATTACCGGCAGAACTGTGTGCACACTGCACAGCGCTGCAGCATGTCTGTGAGCGAGAGAGAGATGCAGCGTGTCTGTGAGGCCCCGCCCCCGCACGCAGGTGAGAGAGAGAGATCTCTTTTAAAATATATTGAAAGTTAGAAACGGAGATGGTTAGATAAAATGTGCAAGATAACGTTTATGTAGCATTTATTTATTGTCGAAGTTATGACATTTCATAACTGGATCAAATCAAAGTGAATGGCCTGCTGCTGCTGAATGCATGGGGCAAGTGACTGGAAAAAGTTTTAAAAGTTATTACATCGTTTCAGATAATAAATAATAATGATAATTCATTCTATTTAGGGGCGCCTTTCAAAGCACCCAAGGACACCTTACAATTCATAACATATTCCAAGGAAAGGTTTTAAGACAGTACAAAGAATGCAGTCCGGGTGATGTTTTTTATGTGGGGTGCAGATGAGAGGGAGCTGTCCAGAATGACACCAAGATGTTGTGTTTGAGTTCTTGATAAGCCATTAAAACAGTCAAATAAGTGTCTTCTGTACACCAAAACATACCCATCTGTTATGGAAAAAGAAAGTATTCCAAAAGTATTCTAAAAGTAATCTGAATACGTAACTAACTGTATTCTGATTACTTTCAGAGCATGTATTCAGTATTCAGTGACTGATTACATTTACAAAGTAACCCTCCCAACCCTGCCAAGAAGTGATCCTTCGTTAGCGTGAAGAGTCTGCTAAGCTTTATGCGGTTGCGGTTCCCCCCCCCCGGCCAACAACTTCAAAATTCTGGGCTATATAGAAATCGCTGGCCCGCGATAGTGTCTATTGGATACATTTTGGCCCTTGGACAAATGTAGTTGGTGATCCCTGCAATATTATATTATCTGAGACGTTATCTAGCCTCGTATCAGGGTATCAATATAATATCAACACATCGCCCAGCCGTAGCTATAAGTGTTTCTTAAGGAGGTAAAATACAGGTACAGATATTCTTATTATTTATGACGGAGTATTTGTCCGTGTGCAAATCAGGCAAAGTGAGATGTTTAAGATCTGACAGCTCTCGTTAGGGTCAAGTTGCTGCTCAGTGTTTGTTGCGCCTGTGTCGGGTCAAGACTGATTTGACAAATCGGCACCACGAGCAATGACACTAGAAGGGGAAGAACAGCAGAGAAGAGGCCCATTGCCAAAAGGCTTGTCAGAGCCTGTGATCAACATGATGTGGACAGTAGCACACCCAGAAGTGCTCCTATTTCCTGAGCTTGCTCACTTCGCCTGTCTCAACAGGACCCCTCCTGATCTCTAGTAGGTCTCCGAGTCTCAAAATGGAGTCAGACTATGAAGCATTTTGGGCTCTCCCATGAATTGACAAAAAAAACAAGACAGTATTTTGGCTTCATCAACTGCTATTTCGGTCTGTATAAAAAATATAATCATAAAACCAAAATAAGCTAACCAATTGACTCGTGGGGACAAAAGACGTTTGTGTAATTTGGTAATTTTCTAGCCTGAAATGTTTCAAGGTTGTTAGTTAACGGCCGATAGCTTATCCACATGATTGGCCTACATCCGACCCCCCCCCCTCAGGGCAGCGCAAAATATTCATCTTTAGAGATCAGTCACTTTGTGGTTCCTGCTAATTCCTGTATCCTCAAAACAATGTTCCTCTGTTTTTCTGTTTAGCATCACTTTCACACTCTTTTTTAAACAAGTTAAGTCAGAGGGGAGCACGTTAAATATGGAGCAGCTGTGGCATGATAGTGCCTTGAATAATGAATGCAAAGATGAGCACTTTGCCCAGCTGTCAGTGAATGGCTTTGGTTTCTCATACGTCAGCACACGCCTGATGAGTAAGAGGAATGGGATGAGCAGAGTGACGAAATCACACCCACACTAACAAGCAATTAGCTTGGAGCACCTTTGGAAGTGTAAAACACAGGCACACTTTTAACTTGATGAAATGATCTGCAATTCTAACAAGTACTTTGTCATTAGTGGACACCTCGTCTGATGAGGGATTTACTCTGGGTGTGGCTTGGATAAATCACTCCAAAGCTATTTGAGCCTTAATCCATACACCTAAGGGTTTCCCCTCCTCCGCAATATAAGATGCGTTAACTGACCATACATCAAACATGATCACATTAAATACAAATAACTACATTTGTTGATCAGGAGCCTTAAGTTAAGCAGTTCACGTCCACATTTAGCCCCCAAACAGACGCTCTTGCAATGCACTGATCCTACTTGTTCCCTTCAATACCTCAACTCAACCGGATTAGCACTTGGCCTTGACAGATATCAAGTGCTGATAATGTACTCTCTTTTTCCTACATATCAAATCTATATTCCACCCTGCATGGATCATTTATAAAGTGAGGTCAAATGAGGCAGGGGATTGACATGACTGCTCAGGCACCTTCATATAATAGTGATAATGACATTGATGGAGAATTTGAATTGAATGTGGATTAGTCCAGCTTCACTGTCACAAAACTTTGACTTAACTAAGCAAGAGTTTCTTGATATAACATGAGTCTCATGCATATATGCTCGCTAATAACAGATTATTTGTCACTTTACATTTACCGTTAGCAACCTAAAAGCTTTGATTTGCAAAATAATGTATCTCTGGTCAGGCTTAGCTGATCTTTGTCACCTCTTGCTTTAAATAATGACATTAAATGTTTATCAATATCGTCAAAGACACCATTGACAGCATTTTTTGTTTCTGTTCTCAGAGTGATTTAATTGTTGCTTGTTAACGCTACCCGTTAATGAAGAAAGGTTATTCCTTCACTGCTGCACCAGAGTCATTGATTAAATCACTTTAACATGCTGCCAAGTCATCTGACAACAATAAATAGAGGTTAATAGTGACATCTGTCTTGTGTGATTGGCAGTATTGGCACAATCACTGAGAGCAGAGGTTGCAGAAAGTGACCTTATTAACATTGCTGCTGCTGCACAATATCTAACCATGTCCGAGCAGGCAAACTGCCTCAAGCTCGGTTTTTCCCCATACACAGTCAAATGTGGAGCCCGGGGTTTTCGGATGCATCTCTTACAGAAGATGCCTTAGTGCAAAAATAGACACTTTAGTCTGGCCGTGGCCAAAAGGCAAAAGGGAAGAGATATTTTCAGAGCTAGTCAGTTAGTGTTAATTTAGTCTAAAAGAGAACTTTTATTGAGCTTCTGCTGGGCCCAGGCAATCAAGTAAAAAAGATTTTGGAGAGTGAAAACTAAAACTAGGAAAAAGAGAGCATAAAATAAAAAGCAATGTATGTGAATTAGGGTTTTGGTAATCAGGTAACCCGATTGAATTTTCTTTCAACCTGTAAAATGTGTTTTGGCCAAGAAAGTGCCAGCGATGCGTTTGCCCCGCCACAGTCCCTCTTGCTGAGATGACAGCGATGCTTGGTAATGGACGCTTGAATTTGTCAACGGCCTTCAAAGTCTTCATCGTGAATTTGAGCAAAATATACCCAGAGTGGGCCAAACTGGGTCGTAGAACCTTTTACTTTTTATTGTGGCAACCATGTTAACATGTGAGTGCAAACAATCAGCCTTACGCATCACCACACCAGAGGAGAGCTAATACATTACAGCGGGGTTCCTTCATGCAGAGGTCTTATAAGAAGTCAAATGAGCCACCCAACCCATGAGTCAGTTATGGGTTACAGTTAAACTCTGTTTGCTTTTAAAGAGTTATTATTCGAGGCAATTTGTTTTTTTTATCTATAAAAAGGGTGATAGGGAATGGAAATTATTTCATTTTGAAGTCGTCAGAACCTAATTAAATGTTATGTGCCTGTTTATGCACGGGTCTTACTGGACTTAATTTATTTTAAATAAAATGTAGGCAATAAGCAAATTAATATGGTAATAAATATGAATGCCCCAACCACAATCTTTATTTGAACAGCATATGATTTGTTTCAAGCTTAATAGACACAGATAATATTTCACTAGAATGTCTCATTTGTCAGGGACCTTTAAATCTTCCAGGAAGGGAAACCATTTTTAAATAGAAACCCTGTGTGATTAGAGCAAATCACCTGATGGAGATCTGCTGATGGACTGCATGTACTAACCTACAAGCTAAGCCTCACTACACAGCAGCTTAAGACAACTTTGACTTTCAGTCATTGTCTTTGTTATTTCAACTGTTCTTAGAATTACTTGTCAGGGGCCAAATAACTGCATTCCCCCCCCCCCTATTTAAAACACATATTGTCTTTAGTCTTTCCATGTATGTTCTTTTGAAAACCTCTGTCCAACCCCGCTTATCTTCAGCTCACTGCTACATGACCCCTGAGCATTCTGCATGTTCCTGTCATCACATCAGTAAAACAACTGGAGGGACTTTGCTGTTGGCAGAACAGGGTTTCTAGTAGGGGCCTCAAAATGGTGAGCATATTAACCATCAGACAGGCTACTTAAGAGAATAATAGCTTCATCTAAGGTGTACAGAAATGTACTAACATTTAGAACTTCATCTTTAAAAGGATGCCAACCCAGTTGAAAAGGTAAAGAGGCAAACCAAGGTTTACCAAACTGTTTCCACAACACTAAACTAGAATTCTCACTTTCTTGCTGAAAGATGGCCTAGTATGGACATAAGTACTGTACCAGCTGTTTAAATATGTGCATTGATTCTTTCATTATGCACCAGTGTAGGCATCAACATTAGTTGTGACCTTAAGTTAGGTTAGATATGGTTGCCATATGCTTATACATTATAATCTGGAACTCTTTGGTATATTTCCACTGATTTAAATGTCCACTCCTGCAGGCTACCACACGACGTTTGGTATCGCTACCCTAGTCTGGCAAAAAAACTCTGTTCAATATGAGACTGGGCCGAGGACGACGCCTAAAAAGTTAGACTGGATCATTTAAACCTACTCTTTGCAAATGTTAGCAGGCTAACTAGCTTCCACATCTGATATTAATGACGAATACATTTGACCAACGGCTTACACCAACTCTATTCTTGGGTTTCAATGCAAAAATAAGGGTTAGGCAATGTTGCCGAAAACATTTACATAACATGTTTTACCTTCAAAATATGGATGTTTTAGTTCCACGCTTGCCATCAGCAGCTAACGATCATGTTAGCTATGCGATAAAAGCCCTTGATCGTAATGGTTCGTTAATGAAAAACACAGCTAACGTTAGCAGCTAGCTTAAGTTAGCTAACAAGCTAACTGCTTGCTGGCTAAGGGTTAGCTTCGCGACAATGATCGACACTAAGTACACTCCGGCACATTTATCTAAAAATAACCCTCAACCCGTTTCTTTGTAATAATATGTATATTGCTCTTGGGGTATACAAATGTAAAAAATAATACTCACTAGGCAGTTTCAGATTCCCGAAGCTCGTCGAGCTGGTTCCACTGGCTGTTGAAGCCCCAGTCTTTCCTGTCGAGCTCCCACCGGCTGCTGCTGATCCGGCACCGGCTGCAGCGGACCCGGGAGCTCCGGGAGGCTCAGCGAAGGAGCTGGTCCTGGGCCGCCCGCTGCCGCTCATATTTGTATGAACTAAAGCCGGGGCAAGGTTGGACGTTATTCGTGGCCAGACCGGCACAAACTTAAGCTATATATATGTGTATTTTAATATTCGGTATGAATATAAACTACACTTACAGCGTTCTGTATAGGTTGCCCGTCTCCCCCTTTCTTCCTCTGTAGAACGGTGATGGTGGGGGGACTGGGGAGTTGACGCACAACTACGTAAAGCGCGCAAGGGTTTCTGGGGGAATGAGTCATTGGGTCTGAGAGTGCACACTACTGTACATTCGAGTTTAGAACGGAAATCACTGTTTTATTGCTTAATATCAGAATGATAATTGTTTGGAATATGTATTCAATTAAAAAATATGTTGGAAAACACATGAATCATGTTACCAAAATACATTTTCAATCAAAAATACACAACCTTATATATTTTTGTTTAGTTTTGTTTATTTCTTACGATTTTAGTGTGTACTTTGAATGAACATTTTACTAAATAGTTAGTGTAAAAAGGGTAGGTGTAATAAGCTGAGGCTTCAGCCTATACTTTTTAGGTCAGTGTTAATTTGCTTAGGGTTGTCACTATTTTAAAAATAATTTCTTGAATGTTAGTTTGTTTTATTTAATTGTTTGTGTTTAGGTAACTATACTAAACTAAGTTTGAGTAAGAATGATTCTGGAAAAGGCCGGCATCCATCAACTGCAGTAAACCGAGAGAAAACTTTCCGTTAACAGTCGACAAAAAACTACAATACCCAGCAGTAAAACTCATTTTATGATCGACAGTCAGCCCATCCAATCACAGACTCGGACATTTTGAGACTACCGCATTGGGCGGGACTTCGTATCACAAGAATGGAGTCGATCGGCGGACAAACGCTTCATTTCATGCATTGAAATTACATTTTCCCACGGACATGTTTCATATTTAATTATTTCCAAGCCATACATGGTAACACGGGACTAACAGAAAGGGCGTACGCTTTGTGTGACCGAAGAGAGGTGAACACACGAGGGATCGTCCAACAAGAGTAAATGAGAGCTAAAGGGAAAGAAGGGCCCGCCGTCGCAGCCGTTGAGCTTCGGGGAAAAGTGGGTAGCGCCGCCTGACGGACCGCCGAACCGGGGAGCTGCCGTCAGGAAACCGCGGTGCCGAAAACAGGTCTGCATTATCGGAGGGAGCGCCGCCAACAGCTCTCCATATGCAATGGCACACTGTAAAGATTGATATGAATCACATTTGGAAGAAAAATCAAGACAATGACTTGCAAGTTGTTAATGAGTGGCGCTCGTGTTGTTAGCATTAGAGGGCCAACGGCTATCTGGCTAACGGCTGAACAGCACGAGCTTTTTTCGCGGGGTTATTTAAAAATGATGAATGTAAACACTGTTGGGTCTTTTAATTGTACATACTAATAACACATGTTTCGTTGAGAGTAACAGTGAAATCATGTAGGCTATTTCGATATATCGTTCGATGACTGGTTCATAACTGCTACTTTAGTATTGTTGCTTATCATTGGTGTAAAGTAACTAAGTACATTTACTCAAGTACTGTACTAAAGTATACTTTTGAGGTACTTGTACTTATCTTGAGTATTTGCATTGCCAAGGCACACGAGGGGATAGG